AGTAGTAGTAATAATAATAGTACTAATAGTAAGAGGAGTAGTAGTAATAGTAATAATTGTAGTAGTAATAGTAGTAGTAGTACTAGTAATAGTAGTAGTAGTAATAGTAATAGTTGTAGTAGTAATAGTAGTAGTAGTAGTACTAGTAATAGTAGTAGTAATAGTAGTAATAATAGTAGTAATAGTAGTAGTAGTAATAATAATACTAGTAGTAGTAGTAATAGTAATAGTAATAGTAGTAGTAGTAATAATAATAGTACTAATAGTAAGAGTAGTAGTAATAATAATTGTAGTAATAGTAGTAGTAGTACTAGTAATAGTAGTAGTAGTAATAGTAATAGTTGTAGTAGTAATAGTAGTAGTAGTACTAGTAATAGTAGTAGTAATAGTAGTAATAATAGTAGTAATAGTAGTAGTAGTAATAGTAGTACTAATAGTAATAGCACTAGTAATAGGTAATAGTTGTAGTAGTAGTAGTAATAGTAATAATACTAGTAGTAATAGTAATAATAATAGTGGTAGTAGTAATAGTAGTAATAGTAGTAGTAATAATAATAATAGTAATAGTAGTAGTAGTAATAGTAGTAGTAGTACTAGTAATAGTAGTAGTAGTAATAGTAATAGTTGTAGTAGTATAGTAGTAGTAGTACTAGTAATAGTAGTAGTAGTAATAGTAATAGTTGTAGTAGTATAGTAGTAGTAGTACTAGTAATAGTAGTAGTAGTAGTAATAGTAGTAATAATAGTAGTAATAGTAGTAATAGTAATAGTAGTAATAGTAGTACTAATAGTCATAGCACTAGTAATAGTTGTAGGTAGTAATAGTTGTAGTAGTAATAGTAGTAGTAGTAGAAAAAATATAAAATTGCAAATTTATACTTTTATAATATTTCAGCATTTACAAACATGCATTAATGCCCAAGCTTCCATATCTACGAAGTCCAGCTTTTTCATGACAATTGCTTGGTATATATGTAAACGTCCCATATTCAAATTAGCTCAAAAGTATAAATTCTGTTTGGCTAGAAAAAAAAAATCAAAATCAAAATCAAAATCAAAGTTCAATTCAAAGTTCAATGCACCTTCAAAAATGGAAATCTGATACAAGTGTTGAGTCTAGTAGTAGTAGTAGTAATAATAATACTAGTAGTAATAGTGATAGTAGTAATAGTAGTAATAGTAGTAATAGTAATAGTACTAATAGTATTATTATTAGTAGTAATAATAATAGTACTAATAGTAATAGTAGTAGTAATAGTAGTAGTACTACTAGTAATAGTAATAGTAGTAATAATAATAGTACTAATAGTAATAGTAGTAGTAGTAATAGTAGTAATAGTAATAGTAGTAGTAGTAGTAGTAATAGTAATAGTAATAGTAGCAATAGTAGTTATAGTAGTAATAGTAGTAATAATATTAGTAATAGTAGTAGTAATAGTAATAGCACTAGTAATAGTAGTGGTAGTAGTAGGTAGTACTAGTAGTATTAGTAGGTAGTAATAGTAGTAGTAATAGTAATAGTTGTAGTAGTAATAGTAATAACAGTAGTAATAAAAGTAATAGTACTAGCACTAGTAATAGTAGTAGTAGGTAGTACTAGTAGTATTATTAGGTAGTAGTAGTAATAGTAGTGGTAGTAATCATAGAATAATAGTAATAGTAGTAGCAGTAGTAATAATAATATTAATAGTAGTAGTGGTGGTATTAATAATAGTAGTACTGGTAGTAGTAGAAGTAATAATAATAGTAGTAATATAGTAGTATTAGATAGTAGTAGTAGTAGTAGTAGTAGTAGTAGGTAATAGTAGTAGTAGGTAATAATAATAATAATAATGATTTGTTAAAGCTGGTACTAAACAAAATGCATCGCCCTCATAGCATACATAGCTAGACAATGACAAATCAATGAAATTAATCAGGGAATTTAATCTCATGAATTTCAGTGGGTATTCCTAGATGTTAGGAAGCAGAGAAAATAGAGGCATTTACATAAACACCACACAATTCATCTATATGAAATATCTTCTAACAACTATCTTTCAGATTTACATGAATATCACATATAAAACATCACCATTATTAACTTTTTTTTTAAGTGAAACACACCTTTCATGCATATGTTTATGATAGCAAAGTGCTATAAAATTATCTATTTACATATCTTACATTTCAAATTCAGTTTTTACATATATGCAACCTTAACTATGCATGAAAATGTGTATGTTACAATTTGAAAGTTAAAATAGTGGTATTTTTTATGTGATATGAAAGATTTGGATGTTATAAATAAAAAAAATCCAAGTTCAGGCGTTAGATATGTAAATACATAAGAATTGGGAACCAGCTTTCCGCAAAAGAGAGTTTGATTGGGTTTGAAAGTAGCTGGTCTTGAAATCTTTCGAGGAACTATAAAAGATAGGGGGCATTGACATGAAGAAGTTTAAAGAAAAAATTCTTAGTCTCTTCTAGCACACGAGAAGTTATATTTTACTGACAACTTATAAAAGAAAGGGGCATTGACATACATACCACCCAATTCCTATGTATTTACATATCTAACACCTAAACATTACTTTTTACATTTATACCACCCAAATCTTTCATATCACAAAAGAAATACCATTATTTTAACTTCTAAAAAGTGAAATGAACCTTTTTATGCATAAGTAAGCTAACAAATGTATATGTAAAAAATGAGCTTTGGGTGTTACATATGTAAATACATAGGATTAAATGGCATATACATGTAAATCTTCCTAGAAGATATTGAAAGTGGTCATCTTCAAGATACCAATGATGTTTTTTTTTCCCTAGAAAAAAAAGTATTGTACTCCTTTGATCATCGATTGCAAAAAATTTCAATGAGTTTCTAAAAGCACAATAAATCAATTTGAACAGAGTTTAAATGAAGGATAGTTTCCAGTAACTTACCAGCACCAATGAAAGCTATATTTGCAGCAGTCTGATTTACTTGGCTGCTTAAATAAACTCCAACATTAAATAGAGCTCCTCCCAAAACTGCATGAATAGAGCCCATCTGAAGTATAGCGGCTTTCCGTGCAGCTCGTTCAGACTTATTATATGCAGCAAGTTATTGGTCAGCGTAGTGATTGTAAAAAAAGAAACAAATTGCAAACAAAACTTGCAACTAGTAAAGAAAGCTAAAAATAGTTAGATCTTTAGTAGAAGATGTTTTAATAGTTAACAGTAATAATTGATGTTTACCTATGCACGACAAGGTGTCATGCATAGGTTGGTGGAATATATGTAAAAACTGAAGTTTAGGTGTTAGATATGTAAATACATAAGAATTGAGTCTTATGTATGTAAATATTTCAAAATTATAACATCGTAACAGAATCGGTTCACATAGGAGTCGGCAGAAAAAAGTTACATTTCAGACACTTGGAGTTGTACAGATTGGTTTTTTTAACGGAACTTGCAGAGAAGCAAGAGCATAGAGTAGAAAGCATCCATCTCAAGCCGAACATGATGATATGGAAAATTGAAAGATTAGTTTACCTAATATACAAACAATCATGCATGCATACATACTACATAATTCCTATGTATTTACATTCCTTAACACCCAAATTTTGCTTTTTTACATTTATACCATATCACATAAAAAAATGCCACTAACTTAATTTTTAAAAAGAGAAATACATCTTTCATGCATAGATATGGTGGCATATATATAAAAATTGAAATTTAGGTGTTATATATATATATATATATATATATATAGAGATATATATATATATATATATGCCTGTGTGAGTGAGATAAGATGCGCATTTAGCACCAATATGCCATATCAACAAATTTAAAAAAAATATTATCTTTTGACCACGCATTATATTTAATCATTTCAATCACAAATTCACAGGCACCATATTTATTTTAAATACAAAATTCGGTCTGCGAAAATACCTCGAGCACTCGAACTCTAAGTTTCAAATCTCCCGACTCCAGCTGCTTCACGAAGTCTTCTATTTTCTGGATTCTATATGGCATTGAAATTGTGTGATCCCTAGCCTGTAATTACACCCAAAAAAAAAAAAAAAAAAGGGAATCGTTAATATACATATACAATTTTAGACGCACCCTTGCAAAATCAAATATGAGCTTTGGTTATGAAAATATTGGGGGAAATTCTTTTTAAAAATTATATATACACCTCATGCCATTTTTTAGGATTGGACATCAAATAAAATAATTCTCAAGAGATTTCACAATATAATGATGACCTTGCGATCTGATTCAAAATTAACTATAAGCACAAGCCTTATAGTTAATTACCTCTCTCTCTCAATCACTACTAACTCAAGCAAAAATATAGGTAAACCAAACCATGATATTGCAATTTGTTAACGCAAAAATAATTTTATTTGCTATCACCATTGGTATTCAACAAAGATAGTCGATTCACTTTGACCCAAAAGAAAATTGTTTTTAGCAATCGTAAGTTTTATCAAAGAAGAAGATCTTGCAAAACTGAGGTGAGAGCATGTCAAAGTGACCAGTTTTAAGCTAAGCTTTGCTAATTGAGGGATTCATGCCCTATTGAGTGTGCTTTATGGCTTACAACTTATAAGCTTAGCCATTGGGAAACATTCGAGCTTAGATATAAATCGTAATATTACGATACCATTGTAATAAGATAACCACTTGATTAGGGGATACATACAACATCCTTGCTGTTGTTAGTTTTTTCGAGTATGATCACATGAAAACACATAACATGCCAATGAATCTATATAAACTATGTTAAAATATAAAATTATCATCCTTGAGAAAGAGAAGCATCATTGATATCAAAGTTAACCCAAATCACAATAGAAAAAACAAATATTATTACTAAAAGCAAATGGGCGGCTACAACCAACACACTTGAAAAGAAAAATATAACACGCGACACCCAAAAACATGAAATTTTAGTGAAGCTGTTTTTGTGATTTTTGTTCGATATGTTGATTTTTGCAGGTTTGACTATGTTTGATTGGGATCATATATGTCAATAACAAAAAATAATGTTTTCTATACCTCATAGCACAACAAGGTACACCTTTTGCGCTATTGGAGTTTGTGGTGTGTAAATTATTCCACTGTCGAAAGTGATCGCGAATTAAAAACATCATTAGAGGAAAATTTCATGTTAAAAATAATATCATTATTATTTTTCTTATAATTTTCTTTTTTTTTCTTTTGACTTAGCACATTCGATACTCACTCTTAAGTGAGTTGTGTATCTAAACTTTTGTTCTGCTTCTGAAGTATCAAATATGTGGTTGTCACAGTTCTGTTTTAAGCAGTTTATAAAAATAGGGGTAGAATGATCATTTTTTCCCACAGTTATAATAAACAAGTAGCTAGCTTCCCAGCAACAGCTTCTTGGGGCAGAGCAGCTGCAGCTGCCCCAAACAGACCCTAAATTAAATATCAAATTCTACAAATTGGGGCTAAAGCTTGATTAGGCTTAGGTGGCTGACAAATTGACTCAAATATGAATGCATAAATTTAAGTTAAATGCAAAAATATAAATATCACTTAAATTTTAAATTATGACGGATTTACGAAGATGGTCATTTTTTAAAGCCTAAAATCATATACTTCTTTGAAATATTTAAAGCTCCGAATGATTTCAAAATTTATGAAAATTTTGTAGTTATCTCCGAAGTCAAATGATACATCTTGAAATATGAGTTCACTTTTAAGACTTGGATGAGTACCACTTGAGATACTCTTGAGCAGGGAGTTTATATAAGAAGTCAATTACACATATTTTCAAAATCTTGTATCTCCTGATATAAAGTCCATAATAAATTTATGGCATAAAATTTATGCAAGTTTTTAAAGCTTATAAAACTCTTTAAGCTATTTAAATACATAATTAAACACCCGCATGTGCTCCAACAAGTATATTGAATGATCAAATAATAGGTTTGGGAATATTTAATTGGGCAGCCTTGTCTATAGGGCGGGGTTGTAAGTCTCTCTCACTAGTCCGAACCTCCTCGTAAGGACTGGAGTTGACGAGTCTAATAAGCCCTAAAAAATGTTCAAAACCTGAAATAAAAATTTACAAGTCCTAATCACCGAGCTAAACTGACAAACTTAAATGCACAAATTAAAAGCTTTTAGTTTTAATTTCCCGATGTGACCGTGTTGATCGAATATTTCAACCAGAGGAGTTAATCTTTTAAATCAAGATTTTCAAAGTAATCAATCAAAATGTTCAAGTTAAAATATAACACTTAAAGCTTAAAGCAAATGACATCCATTATTCACAACAATTTGTCGAAGGTTATAAATTCCTGACTTACTTCAGCTCACAAAAAGCTAATGCCGTACTAAGTGTATCCATATATTCACAATCAAAATAATTGTACATCAGTAAGTACGCGACCCGAGTCTTTTGTCTGTGTGGTTTTGTTGCCAAATGACACCACAAAATAGTGGTTATGACGAGAGCCCTCTGACCGGGAGGTTGCCGCCAAAAGACATCATTATATTACGATTAGGGCAACCAGTATATTCCCCAATGACTTTCTACTTGAGTTGTGAATCATAAAGATACAATAGATTGACATAAAACCTTATGTTAATTAAACTCGACTTAAATTTGTCCCCTTAGACAAGAATCTACCCCAGATCTACAAGGATTTCTCGGACGATGCAACCCATGTCTTCTGGCAAGAATCCTTCAGTCAGGTTGGGTTGACTACCTTCTCTGACTATCAGGGACCACGACGACTCGAAATGACAGAACTAGTGGATCTTGATCGGATTTCGTCTTCATTCACCCATCATCCTCTTTAAGCTTCAAGTGACGAGTTTACAACTTAGAATCCCATGTCTGCTATTATTATATGCTTAATACTCAATTCTTAGTGACTCCTTAATCGAAAGTGTTCTCTCGTTATCAGGAGGGGTAATTAACCATAGGGCTTTGCGCCTATGGGAAGCCTCGAACCCCAGATCAAAAAGTCCTTGCAAAATGAGGGTGAAATCTCTGGGTAGTGTCTAATCTACAATACAATCTGTCTTCTGAAAATTCAACCCTACAAAACTCTCTCAAAACAAATTAAATAAAATGCAGAGAGTTCTTGGGGAGCGGTCGTAATTTTCGGAGCCCAGAATTCTTTTGGTTCCATTTTATTTCTGGATAGTAAAGCAATGATGTATCATTTTGCGATCAACTTCAATTCCTTCTACTCATAAACATAGCACAAAAAGAGAGACAAATTCATTATCTGATGCTAACTCTTCTGCATTCTAATACTTCAAACCAGATTATTTTTTCTACCTTGTTTTCAACTTTCTTTTCAATTATTTAAGCTTGTAGATAAACCCCTTTTGTCCCCATATTTGCAGTGTCATTATTGTCCAGCCATGTTTTAATAGAACCAAGTTTCCTCAATCTTCTAATATTAATTCATAACTAGTTGGAAATGCTCAACGAAAATAAATGAAAGAAGAACCAAGTTTCAGCATTAACTATAACATATAAACAAAGACTCAACTTATATTGATATTTGATAGTTTGATCAGAACACTGCGTGCATTATACGTTTTGAACATGTAAAATATGAATCAACATAAGATGGCTTTTGTTGAGTAATGACTGATAACCAATATGGTTTAAGTTCAATGATAATAATTAGCAAACGCATAGAATCAATGAATGGTTCATACTCCATAATTTCTGCCGTTGGCTCCCTAGAGGAAATAAAAAAAAGAGGCATTTACATACCATACAATTCCTATGTATTACATATCTAACACCTAAATTTTACTTTTTACCTTTATATCACAAAAAATACTACAAGTTCCACTCAAATCATTCATATCACAAAAAATACTACAAGTTTAACTTTTAAGAAGTGAAATGCACCTTTTTGTACATAGGTAAGGTTGTATAATGTAAAAATTTAAATTTGGGTGTTAGATATATAAATACATAGAAATTGAGTGGTATGTATGTAAATCTTTCAAAAAAAAAGATACCTTGCAAAAAAAAAATTGAAAAACACTTCAAGCATCATCAAAACAGAGAATTCCTGAAAAGGAAAGTAATTAAAAGAACAACATGCTTAATCTAAAATAATAAACAGTTAATCCAGATGAATATGGTATTAGTGGGTGAAAAACAAAACCTACCAATGATGAAACCTACAGAAGTTTCCAAACTCAAAGAAAGAGCAATTTTAATAATAATATAAAAAACTCTCAAAGCTAGTATGTATATACATCATAAAAATAGGTAAAAAAACTATTAGGGCATACTTCATCAGCTAGTCTTCTTATATCATTAGCAACCTCTGCTCCAGTTTTTTGCCTTTGTTGGGTGTTCAGTAATTCCTGAAGTTCCAGGGAAAATAAAAATAATAATGAGCATCATATTTTAGGTCAAAACATGTATTTTGTATGAAAGTTGAACTTAAGAACAAGCTGGAGTTATAGCAGAGGGCAAGAAAAGAAGACAAATAAAAATTACGTTGGCATTGAAGTATCACTTTGCTTCAGCAAAAAATATCTATTTGAAGGATACTTTTGTGTTTTTTCAGTTAATAGAAAATATAGAAATCAATGGAGGATTTAAACATTTTTTTTTAATTTTGAAAAAGCAGATCGTTAAGTAGCATGTCAATTGATTTAGCAAGCATGTAAGGAAAAAATGACGCAACAAAGGGCTACAAGCCTACAACAGTATTTTTAAAGATATCTGAGTCACGGATAAAATTAAAACAGTGTTTTTAAAGATATCTGAGTCACGGATAAAATTAAAAATAATTATGGGAGTGATGAGATATCTTTTAATCCATCTTGGCTACAACAATGCTCAAGATTAAGAAACTTTATGCTTTGGCATGAAAATGCTTGCAGAAGTTATTCAAGGAAATAAACATGGTGTGTTATTTGCAAATGACAGAATACTTATTAAATAATCTAACTCTAAAGTAAATGAGATTTAAAAAAAAAAGGTAGAAAACTTCTAAGAGATAATGAACAAAGACGAGGAAACAATGACACCAACCATCATAAACATGATTAATAGATGCAAAAATGATAATTTTTACCAAAAAATTATAGAGATCGAATGGCAACTCAGTGCAACAAATTTAACTACTTTGGAACTGCTACAAAAGAATGTGGCATCAATGAGGATGGTAGCATTAGCATATTAATTTAGAAAGGTTTCCTATTTATAGTTAGGGCCATATTTATTTTACTATATCTTTGGACATCCCCATAAATTTCCTATTATAAGAGGCCCTCTAATCGATGTAGTTGTTTAACATAAGAAAAAAAAGAGGCCTTTATTTAAAAACATATTTTCCCTCAATATGGTATTAAAATAGGGTCATCATTAATCCTCTCTTCCTAGTGTGAATGCTCCAAACCCCTCTCATCCCCATGACCTATTTGTCCTTCACTAGCATCCCAACACCATGAATACAACATCCCAATCCTTGATTCAATCTCAACCCTTTGCCCAAAACTATAATAAACCACCTTCTAAGCCCATATCCTGCCCAAACAACCTATCAATTCTCTCAATTATGCTCGATCCCTCTTGATCCGAGCTAGATGTCATTGCAACCCCAAACAGAAGGCTCATATCACAACATCCAACTACCAAACCTCTTATTTACTTTGTGATGATTTGAACTTTACCTCTGAAATTCAAATACTTCATGGCATCGCCCATCCAATTACTCACAAAGAAAAATGACCCGAGAATACACCCAATATTCAATAGCCAACTACAATTTCCTTTCCAACATTTCCTCTAATAAAGTATTACCCGTTGAGATGAATAATATCAAAATTCCAAGACCTACCCAGAAAGCACTTCAAAATGAAGAATAGAAACAGGACACGGTTGAAGAAATGAGCCCAAGAAAAATAAAATGTGGGAAGTAAAAAAATGTTCATAAGGGAATAAATTAATTGAAAGCAAGTGGATATAAACTATTAAATAAGATGCAAATGGGGGGGGGGGACATTGAAAGATTCTTATAAATAAAAAAAATAATATAAAGACTTCTATAATAAAAAATTCCTGATCATATTTCTTGAAATTTTGTAAAATTTTGAATCTTTATTATGGTAAATATTTTTTTATAACTTTTTTACTATTTATTTGCCTTTTCTTGATTTATGAAAAATATGAGAATCAATTATATTTTTTATTCTTAAATATCTTATTATTTTCATCTTTATAATGTTTCGATCATTTTTATTCACTTCATGTTTATCAATTTATGTGATTACTGTATACTATTCTTAATTTTAAAAAAATTAAATAAAATATAAAAATATATATTATAATTTCGTGTCAAAGGCGTGTCCCCATTCTATATTTTCAAAAGTATGTGTCTTGTCTTTGTGTCGTATCATGTTCGTGTCCCTGTATCCATATCAAAGCAACCTAGCAAAAAAACATATCCATCATCAAGGCTTGCTTCCAAAACTTCATGATTTTTTTTTGCATATTGACCTTATCACTCATGCAATCTGTGTCATATCTGCCATCATCCTTCACGATACCGGTATGAGGTATAGTTCCTTTCATTATTTCTTGAATTGCCCCCGGTTTCACCCAGAAGATAAGAATTCTACTAATGCAAGGCATGATAGATAAGTACGAGACATGCATATGAGATATGTTCGTGAAAAAGAATACATATAGAGATAGAAATAGGCCTCAAATCGATCAAGAACATGCATTTAGCCTTTTGGTTAGTAGATCGAATATAAGCAATGATGTTGATTTTGGCCTCCACCATGAATGGTTGATATTGTCCTGTGAATGAGGGTGGAAAATCCACATCCTCTTCATTGAACACCATTTGGCATCCACTGTAAATGGTTGATGATGTCCTATGAATGAGCGTGCAAGATCCATATCCTCTACATTGAAATCATCATGTTGCATATCAATGAATCTTCCAACCTTGCATCTTCGAAGAAACGACACATTCATTTGTGGTTGATCTTCAAGAATTAGTTCTATATTCACCATCACAATTGTTTGAAAAAGTATCACCATCATTACAGTTATCTGTTATAACAAGTTATAGGCAAATCACTTGATTTTCTCCTCATGCTAACACGATGATGTCACTTTGTTCTCCTTAGTTCTAGTAACATAGAATTAAAAATGGTTTAACTTTTTGTAGTTGCTCTTTATCATCAACATATTCTAGTATTAAAAAGAGCTTAGCACTTTGATAACGATGGATCTCAGACATGTGAGCTAACAGAGAAGGGATTTGACTTAAAAGACCAACAGATGATTTAAAACTTTAGAAAAGAAATAAAAGTACTCTTGGATTATTGATTGAGATTGGAAAATTTGCTTCACTCATAAAGAATTGAAGTATCAAGTATTAAAGAGGAAGGAAGAGGACTTATCTTTTCTTCTTTGAATTCTTTTTACCTATACTACTATATCTCATAGTTTGTGTAATCCTCTGCATACCTTCCCCTTCCCTCAAAATACCCTTTCATGACTTAGAGGGGAGTCTATCATAAAAGGCAATGCTCAAATAGACAAGACTGTGTTGACAATTTATTACGTGAAATCAATTATCTTTCTTAGAATCTAAGTTTGTTAAAGAAGTGCAAGGCATTGATTTAGAATTACGTCAAGCTGGCACCAAAATTGGCACCAGAATCAAACAATATAGATCAGTCTTAGGTGAATTATGATCACCTATTTCAATTCATGCATCCCATGGCATTTACTACTTATATTCTACCAATGGATGCTTCAAGTGTGCCCTGAATTTTAGATTCTAGAATTTCTTCACATATGATGAAGAACCGACAATTATACTCCTTTTGTCAGGTTTGCTCTACCACTATCATTGTTGTTGATGGTTCTCCATTATCTATGTTCATAAAAGGCTATGCTCCTACTCTAAAGAATTACCCTCATTGTGTTTTTTAAGATCTTAATATAAAGAAGATGATTGAGAGGTGCTAAAGCTAGTTGAGTTTACTACTTGAAGAATGAGATCTCTTTGGCTTTTTCTTCAAGAATTGCTCTATATTAAATGGCATTGCCATTTGGGCCATCCTCCATCATAAAAACTTTAAAATTTTCTTATTATCTCCTGCACTATAACCAAGTTTGAAATGTTTGCGACAAAGCTAAAGCATCATTTAGTGTATTTTACATCCTTCATATTATGTCATAGTAGTATCTCATTTGGGTTGGTTCATCTCGATATTTATGGGACTAGTCATCCTATTTTTGTCCACTTTGGGTTTAAGTACTTCATTATCTTTGTGGATGATCAATCTCAATATACATAAGAGTATTTGCTAAAATTAAAGCTTCCTTTTTTTATATATGCACCAAACATTCTATCAGAAAATAAATTTTATTTTTTTGTAATAAATAAATTTTTCGTATTAATAATGAAAGTTATCCAATCTACATTTAGCACATTCTATGCTAGCAATAGATCATTCATCATATTTCATGCCCCTACCTTCTCAATGAAACAAATAGCATTGTCAATGCTCCATAGGGTGATGTCATTTCGATTGCATGCAACTTATTAATTATATCCTATCTTCAGCTATCTGTGATGTCATTTTAATTGCATGTGTTTACATTTCTCACACCTAAAATTTCATATTTACAAAAAGCATTGCCATTAAATATTATATTTGATTCACCTATTATAAATAAGAGGTCCTCCTACTGAATAATAAACATGTTTATTTACCCACAACAGAACATATCTTCAAAGTCAAGCTACTCAAACGTTAGTCACCGTGGGTGTGTTTAAAAGAATGAGTATATAGCTGGATTTCATTAAACTACAAATAGATAAACTATTTTATATGGACTTAAGTGCTCAAAATAAAAGGTTAATGGAAATCATATTTCGGAAAGCAAAATGAGAAATTTTAAGATGGGTCTGTTATTAAATTATCAAAGATAGAAAAATTCTTTTAAAGAAATGGTGTAAGCAACAAGTATGAGAGATACACTATTGAAAATAAACTAAAATAATAGAGGGATACATCATAGATGTAAGAAATTGTGCCAATAACAGAAATTGAAATAACATACAAGAATCAAAACAGACTAGGGGTAGAAAAGAAGCAACACTGCTAGAAGTTGTAAGAGAAGACATGCAGGTTAAGCATAGGGAAAAAATAAACAGATTTATTGTCTTGGAAAAACGAGGAATGAATGGAAGTGAATTCCTAAAGTTAGCCCCAAATAATTTGAATAAGCTAATAATAATGATTGCATTTCAGATAGAAAAGAAAAAAATCCAACTACTAGTGACAGGTTTAGTTTAAAATCAAATTAAACTAGAAATAATCCACTTGTACACATCAAGACATACTCTTGCATAAGGCGCTGCAACTCTGACAAATGAAATTTCTGGATCTAGCATATATACGACACCTGAAATGTAGTTTTTTGAAACCAGATGAAAGGTTAACTTAGATGCGCTGCAAAAAAGTTATTGCAAATGAAGGATTTAATTTACAGAGGCCATATAGATATTGAAAGGAGATCAAATAGTTAGCAAAATCAAAACAAATAAGAAGAACAAAATTACTGTTCTTTGAAGCTCACACTAAGGGTCAAAGTTTCTTCTATTTTTGAATTTGTGGAAAGTGCACTCGGGTTTCCTTTTTCTATGCTAAATTTGTGACACCTGAATAACCTAGTTGTCTGAATTTATTACTGTACTTTTACTCTGATCTTTTTACAACATGCCATTCTATTACAATCTAAATGAGAAGCAAACTAGTCATCACCTTACTTGAACAGTTTATCTGATAAACTAAGTTATAATCATAGAAGGTAATGATTTCTATATATCAGAAAACCTGGAAGAAACTCACAAAAGCTCGAGTCATTTGAAAGGAACAAGGAGGCAATGCCAGAATACTTAGCCAGTTAAAGGCAACAGAAAACTATAAAAAAGAAAAAAACAGGAAAAAAAATTGTGAAAATTGAAAAAACCAAATTCTGATTTTGTTCTTAAAAATGCTTGGAAAGCTAGAGACACGATTATTTTGAATGTAAATTTACTAACCCACAGCACCACTTGAACAAGAAATTGAAAAGAGAGCACAGCTAACTGCTCAACGATCATATTTACAAATAATTACCAAAAGGCAAGCTGATTGTAAATTTTCACTTCTCCACTATTCATTTAAATGTTTTTTGTTGTAAAATGCTCCTACAACTCTTTACTTATGCAGTGAAGAAGTGAATTAGTATGCAATACCAAAAAAAATTGGTGTAGCTACTCCAGCAAAAAGTATTTTATTTCTATTAAGTTATAATATATAGAAATTACTGATATGTGTGATTTGTTACTATTCGCCTTACCACTTCGAGTTTCTATTCCCATGTGATTTCTGTTTATAGCTTTCATTATGGTTACAAGTGTGCAGCCATAAGCAGAAAATTGCGATCCTCCTATCCTCTTGTGGTACAAAGATCATGATTTGTGGAAACTTAGCCTTTCTATTATGATATTAATCCTCCATCCCAATGGTTTTATAATAGTAATTTGTAATTATAAATAGTGAATTTTGATTCATGATTTTCTATATGTTGGATGTGTAATTTCTTCTACTTTTGGGAGTGTACTCTATCAAATATAAGACTTTGGAACTTTTTCGGGAGTGAATCATCATAAAAGTCAACTATTTTGGCGAGTGTTTACTTTTAAATTTATGTAGTTATCAAAATTTCATTAATGGATTACTTGTGTACTTGATTTTATTCAAGTCTAAAACAATGAAGCACATATTTTTTACTCATTTTATAATATTCTTGGTTCTGAACTTCTAATAAATGTGTCTAATATAAAACTACTTATCATTTGAATTGATTATTTTTTATTTTAAGTTTTCATTAGCAGCTAAAAGTAAAGAGGCCGTGAAGTGGATTTGCATCAAGGAACTTACACCCTAAAACATCCGGAGTCAATAATTCCAACTTAAGAAAAATTTTCAAAGCCAAAACATGGATGCTTAGAATTTAAAATATACAATTTATTATGTAAAAACTTTGGATTCATTCCTGACAAATTTCATAACTTACTTTTCGTTGTTTTTTAAATGACCATTTTACTGGCTCATAATGATTATATAAGTATTATTATTTTTATGAACTTATCTCAAGCTCAGCTCGTTTACACCTCAAGTTTTCCTGCAGGTTCCTCATTTCCAGCCCTTTTCCTCAATACTCTCATCCAGGACAGCCTTCTTTTGGCTGCCCGTAGTCCACCGCATCCTGTATCACTGTTCCAGCCTTCCATTCCCGTTGTCATTGACGTTCCAACCCATCCAACCCATCCTTCTCACTTTCTCTGTTGTTCCAGCCATCCCATTTACTTCCACCGTTGTTTCAGCCTGTTCCATTTACTTCCACCGCTGTTCCAGCCCTCCATACTCACTGCCAGCGATGTTCCAGTACTTTATCCTCACTATCGTCGTTGTTCCAACGCTCCCCCTTGGCAATCATCATCCCGGAAAGCCGTACCACGTCACCATCTGTAACGTACTTGTTGTCCGGAACCAATGAAACAATTTCCTTATCATTTTCAGCATGCCAACCACCTCTTGCATCATCCCACCACCTTCCACTCCCTCACTGATGACTACCATCACTCCGAGATCTACCCTCGCTTGAGTGTTTGTGTTGTGTTTGTTATTTTAGATTTTCGGGTGTCATGTTACATTTTTCCTTTGAAGTGTATTGATTGTAATTGCTTATTTACTTTCAGTAATAATTTGTTTTTTCTATTGTGGTTTGTTTTAACCCATGTATCATTGTATCAAAGCTAGCCTAACCCTGATTTCATCCTAGGATTACTAGCACCCACCTATACCTAAGCCTATCTCCACCAAAAAATTTTCTTCCCAACCGTACATCACCCCTACACACCTCCTTCCACCTACCCACCCCAAAACCATAATCATACCGCCACAAAGGCAATTGCCAGAACTTGATCAAGAGTTTGCCATGGAATACTTACAACGACAACTCCGGCGAGTGCTACGACAACTTGATGACATCAAGGGAAGTACCCATGGAGAGGTCACCCCTACCTATACCTAACCCTATCTCCACCCAAAAATTTTCTTTCCAACCGTTCATCGCCCCTACACACCTCTTTCCAACTATCCACCCTCAAACCATAATCATACCGTCGCAAAGGCAAATGCTAGAACTTGATCAAGAGTTTAGCATGGAATAATAACAGCAACAACTCAGCCGAGTGCCACGAAAACTTGATAATATTAAGGAAATGACCAATGGAGAGGTCACTGGCAAGCGCTGCAGCGAGATCCCAAGAGAAGAGAGGGAGGACTACTTGAATCACTCTCGTATGGATGATTCCAGTTGAGAAGAAAACAGACCACGACACTTTAGATGTAGTATTAGAAGAGGCCAAAAATGAAGTGTTTGGGATACAAAGATGAAATGATTGTTGGAGGATACAGAGGCTCAAGTGTGAATGGGGACCTATGAATACAAAGAGTTTTTGGATGACCGAAAAGTGAAAGTAGTTGCTATCAAGCTGAAGAAGAGCGCCTCGTTGCGGTGGGAGAATCTAAAAAGGGAGAGAAATAGACCGACGGAGTAAGATTACTACATTAAAAAAGAGAAGAGAGTTGCAATGACAGTACCTACCCCCACACTACTGTCGGGATCTTTTCTTGAGGCTCCACTATCTACAAGAGAGAGACCTATAAGTTGATAAGTGCACAGGGAATTTTATGCAGCTCAAGCTGAAATTTGATCTGACGAAAACAGAGGAGCACAAGACAATAAGTTACTTAAGAGGCTTGAAATGCGTCATCGGCAACATAGCCTAGCTATGGTTTTGGACACATCACTTCCAATTGCCCGATGAGCGTGGTTGTGTCATTCACCAAGCATAGTGCAGTGGAGGACGTTAGCAACAAAGAGAGCTGTAGAACAGGTTCAACAGTACCACTTTCCACCGGATGAGGACGAGATGCTCATGGTCCGACGAGTCTTACATATTGATGAAGAACAGGTTCAACCAGATGCTCATGGTCCGACGAGTCTTACATATTGATGCTGCGAGAGATCGACAGTGGCTTTACCACAACACATTCTGCACCTGTTGCGCTTTGAAAGAAAATGTATCTAGTCTCATTATAGATAGATAGATCAACGAGAATGTGACGTCTACACAGATGATAGACAAATTGAGTCTCACAACTTAAAGACATTTCACTCGTATTCATTGACGTGGTTGAAGGAGAATAAGGCTAGCATTTACAGGTCTCGTGAAATTTTCGATTGGGAACCAGCTGCAGGATCCAGTATGGTGCGACGTGGTGCTCATAGATGTCTACAATCTTTTGTTGGGGAGACTGTGGCAGTTTGACTGTAGGACTTAGCATGATGGGTTTAGGAACACCTACTTCATCACCAAGAATGGCAAGCGCATAGTCCTAACGCCTGTAAAGTTTAAGGTCTTACGGGTACCCGTGCTAGCAGAGAAGCGTTTGTAGAATCAGTTTTAGTGATGACCGATGAGGGACAAGTGTCAATTTCAGTCCTAGGCCAGATACTACATTGAGAGTTTCAAAATGTCATGTTTGATAGTTTATCGCCATGGTCATCACCGCTCAGGTATATAAGGCTGCCATCACTTTAGATCAGGTTGAATCAACATGGGATTACTTTAGGAGGATTCATGAAAATATACCTCACATGCAGTCTAACTTCAGTTTTGTAGTGCACCCCTAAAAAATAGGATCGATATGGATGTTTGTTTGCAAGTGGGGAAAACTCAAATGTTTTGGGAGAGTGCAATCGGCAGTGAGATCTAGATACTTCTAGGGCCAAAGTCAAAGATTCTGCAGCCACGGAAGGTTACAACACTTTTGTCACCGTCAATATGCAAACAAAAGCTTCAAAAAATGAGTTTGAAGCTCCTCAAACTCCGTAAGACTACCGTGGGGAATCCAATGACCAGACAGACGCAACCGCGACCCGCATATGGCACTTCTCACAATCGAAAACATGTGTCTTACGTGTTTGTCTGAACATGATTGATCTGTTTACTTCCTTCTGAAGATTCAGTTGAACCTCTTGGGACACTTCTTGTGATCCGCTTATTATATATTTGCTTTCGTGAGGGTTCAGAGTTAGTTTTTCGTGTTTTGTATCGGGACATCCATCAATGCCTCCACTTTCGTTTAGGGGTTGTATCCAAGGTGCTTTGGCTTGTATCTAGATCACCAAGTGGTGTTTATCCTTTCTCAACTAATCCACATCCCTCCCGCTTCACAGTCACACTTTTATTCTCGCCGCTAGTCGCCCCGCAAGCAGCACTTTGCTATTTTCCTGCAATTTTCTCACTGCCCAGCCCTTTTCCTCATTCTCCCTACCCAGGACAG